TTCTGAGCTCTCAAGTTCAAAAATGAAGAAAGAATTCAAACCCTCGCACTTAGCCTTTTTTCTGCCAGAGATTTTATGTTGCAAGCCTTCAACTAGATATGTGATCCTGCACCTGCGGAATATCCATTACAGTTGCGAAGGCAACTTAAATGGGCTGGGATTGCATCTGCGAGCACTGGGCCGCACCTGTGAGCCCGCTCATGTAGTACCCTATTGCTTCTGCGCACCCGCTTCTGTGGACCAACCACCGCACCTGCAATCCTAGCTGAGCAAGGCCAAATCCGCTTCTTCGGTTCTATGGATGCTTCTATGGCACCGCACCTGCGGCCCAAAGTGCACAAGTGCAAATACACCCGATGCAGCAGCTTCAGCACTTGCATAAGTCCAATTTTCCATCCGTTAAGCACCCGAAACTCACCCGAGGCCCCCGTGATCTCAACCAAACATACCAACCAATCCTAGAACACTATAGAACTTAGTCGGGCCCTCAAACTATCTCAAACAATGCTAGAATCATGATTCATCCTCCGATTCAAACTTAAAGAAATTGAAACTACTAAATTCGACAACCGATGCCAAAACCAACCAAACCATGTTCGATTTACCCCAAATTTTTCACACAAGTCATATTCAACACTACGGACCTACACCAACTTCCGGATTCGGATTTCGACCCCGATATCAAATATTCCACTATCGGTCCAAATCTCCAAAATTTTGACTTTCACCATATCAAGACTAAATGAGCTACAAACCTCCAAAACACAATCCGGACACGCCTTTAAGCCCAAAATCACCAAACATAGCTAACGAAATCGACGGAACTCTATTCTAGAGTCGTCTTCATACAGTTTCCACTACGGTCCAAATCCTAAGGCTCAAACCTCCATTCAGGGACTAAGTGTCCTAAACACTTCCAAAAAAAACAAAATGAAACCTCCCGGCAAGTTAGTAGGGGATCGGGGCTCTAACTCTCAAAACGATTGGTCGGTTCGTTACACCGATGATGAAAGAAACACGCAGAAACTCATATCCTCTCATCGACTCGATAAGCCATGGAGCCCTCCCTTGTTCTACAAGAACCATAGCCAATTTGTAAGCCGACTTCCGATATTATTCTTCCAAATATATCATAATCAAATCCTATACTATCCTTTCTAGGTCAAATGACCTTATCTCATCAAACTCAACTATTCTATTAACATGCCATACCAAGAAAACCTAAAGCCACAAACCGTGCAACCCGTGCACCAAAAAACAACAATTCAAGTGTTACTCAAACATGGGAAATGACTCAAATAAGAGAACCACCCTGGAAGCTCAACAAGTACCACTGCAACGTAATGCTATGAACCTATCAAACATAGTAGGACCAAGACACATGAATCTAACACAAAGGATCATATCCCAACAGAGCTCTGCTGCAATGTGTTCCCATTCAAACACCGGTCCATATGAAATACCTCAAGCCACCATGCTCAAAATCAACAACCATCACTACAAAAAAATAGTGTTTAGCGACGGCCGCATTCCGTCGCTAAATCAATGTTTTCTGTCACTAAAGTTGTTTAGCGATGGAATAGCGATGGATTCAAGTTGGTCCCTAAAATCCTCGTTGCTAGACTTATAGCGACGAAAAATACCAAACCGTCGCAGAATTAGCGACGGAGTAGCGATGACATATTTTTGTAGCAAAGTTTAGCGAGGGAAATATCCGTCGCTATAGAGCTTGTTTCTGTCGCTATTTTGATGCCTTTCGTCACTGCAATACATAATAAAATTCTTCGTTTGTTCTTATAGCGACGAAATTGTCCATTGCTAGCCATGTTATAGCTAATTGTCTATGCTTTTTGCAACAAAAACCTTTTGTCACCAATTCGTCGCAAGATTTTATTTTACGTGATATTTTAGCTACGGAACGTATCCGTCGCTGATTAATTTTTACTATATTGTTGTTATTTTAAAATTCTTTTTATTTATTATTTTAAATGTACTCTATTCAAACATATTACATAAACTATTAAATACACTTAATCAAAAATCACTGATATTAATATAAATTCAATAAGGTCCAAAATATATAGCATAATGCATATAACAATATCATTAAGTACAAAAAATCCACAAGGACCGACAATAATGTCCAAACAAAGTAAGATAACTACGCTAGGCTGGAGAGTTACGGTCATCATCAGAACCCAATACATGAACCTCATCAATATTAGCAGTAGTAGAAGATGTTGGAAATGTAGGTGCCATATTAGTATTTGGCTGATGCGAGGGTAAGGAAACTAATTCGCGTACCCGCTCAACGATTACAGGAACTATATGATCTATCAGTGCAGGAATCAATCGCATCACTAACTCATCCAGATTCCCGTTGGTGTTGATTGAGAATTTGGAGGTGTTGTTGATGATGTAGCATCAGATCCAAGAGAGCCATGAAGATTTGGCCCATGGTAGCATTTTGCTTGTGATCCAAGGCCATATACTCTTCTTTTCTGTTCTCCTCCCGCGGCTTGATAATATGCTTTACACTGATCAATATCAGATTGAGTTTGTGTTTGTTGTTGTAATATCTCCTGTTATTTTTCCTGTAGAAGAGTTAATAAGAACATTCAATTTACAAAATGAAAAATATATATGAAAGTACAGTCAGTTAAAAAGTTATCTTACATGTACGATTCGGGATTTCTCAGCAACAAAAGATTTTTCATCATTACCATGTGTATGGACGTGCAAATGCAACTCATTTGGTGTTGGATCTCAACCCTTTTTAGCAGCCTATACAGAAATTATTCAATTAAGAAGATAGAGAAACAAAAGGGTACACTACGCGAATCTCAATCAACCTGAAGTTTGCTAAGGAGTTGAACGCTAAAAAGAGTGTGTGCAAGGCACAAAAGAATAAAAGAAATAGTTTCAACATATATGCAGTAATAGCAAAAATTATTTGACACCATCGGGTTAAAATGACAATAATTAACAAAAGCCAATAAGATTTTTTTAATCCGTGCCCAGTCAAACGAGTTCAAGTAAATTGAAACGGAGGAATTATCTTGGTTCCAAATTTGAAATCCTAATTTCACAAACTAAGGCAGTTGTTCATCAAGACAAGGTGAATATTAATTTTCCAAATTTCACAAAATTAATTTCCTTTGTATTTCAAAGAAAGAACATGTTTGTTTACTTCAAATAGCTGATCAAATTTTCAGGTAATTAAACACGAAAAACATCGAAAGTCTATAGGTGCAAAATAAAGAGCTTGGCATCCCTCATTGCAGAGCATATCTGAGAGTATATCTGATTCGTGATACCAAATAAATGCTTATAAGCTTATAGACTTGTTTTAGCAATGGGAAATTTTACCGAACCCCCCAATGTTAGTTAAATGACTGTTAGCAGCCAACCCTGAACTAACGTAAGTATACCAAATAAATGCTTATAAGACTTTTTCAACTTTTTCTAATTTCTATCAACTTTATATTTCAAAGAGTACACACCAAGATCTAATTTAAAAATACACCCCTTATCTATAATATTTATAGTATCTACTAAGTTAATTCTCTTTTATATTTTCTCTTCTTAGTTCTATTTTCCAGTTTAGACTAAAGTCAGTATCTATATATTGACTTCAAATTGGAATGGAAATATAGAAACTAAATTATTCTTTAAATAGCATTATTTGACATTTTCCAAAACCTATATTTTAGTAGCTATTTAGCTTTTGGCTGAAGACAAAAGGCTTTTAAAATGAGCTGACTTAAGTGTTTCAACCAACTTAACAGGCAAATATAAAAGACAATACAGAACTAGCTTAGGAACATGAGTATCTACTCAACAACACACCTAATAGTATCATGATCAAAGAGCCAGGGAAGTTACTAGTTAAATTGTTCAATGTGGATTAGGAAATGGCTGGCAGCTCAAAATCTAAAAAGAACTCAATAAAAAAAGGGAACAGTAAATGTATAAAGAAAAATATGGAAGATTCTATCAAATGAGCTATGGATCAGAACACTATCATTACTCAAAACAGCTTTGATAAACTGATGGAGGAGGGAGGAAGATAAAGGAAATAATGATGATAGACAGAGAAAAATATATAAACTAATATAGGTACTAAATAATAAAGGGATGGAACTAAAGAAGTTACTAGTGAGGCCTCTATGCAAGGGAACATATCCCCTGTCATTCCTACGTACAGGAAATGCTTTAATGATTTTGACAGAATCGAGTGATGTCATATGATAAGATAATTCAGTGGAAAAAAGGTCACTGAATTCAGATATCGAAATTACTTCAAATCCTAGAAATACTTTCAAAACAAACATTTGATAGTAAAATGCATGAAAAGAATATTGCCAATGTTACATTTTATAGAAATATATTGAGAAAATATTTTTATAGGAAATTTTAAGAGTAAAAGGTCTTTACAGTAAAAGCATGAAACACTCTTATCAGTTTTATCTTCTACTTAATATTCTTGAGAAACTTGACTGTCTGTTTTGATTCTATCAACTGTTTGGTATTATGGTATCTCCTCGATCAGAAGTTTCATTGGTAATTTCATGTTTAACATAGTTTCGCCTATTATGTTGCTTTGAGAAGATGTACCCTCACCTATTGTGTTGCTCTGATTAGGGGTATTTGGAGATGGTTCCAAATTAATAGTTGGGGTACTACCATGGCATGATGTTTGAATAAGTGGCGTACTACTAGGACCTAATGTTTGAACTTGATTGATGTGATCCGATCCACCTGAGGAATTCGTACCACCTTGTTGAGGATGACTATGGGAATGGGAATAGTAGGCATATTTTCACGAGTAGAAAAATTACCCCTAACTGAAGATTTACCTACACGGCCTGCGCTACCTCGACCACTACCTCGAGGCATATTTCCAATTGCTCCTTTTCTTGGGCTGCAATGGGCTGCTCGAACTTAACCTGAGCAGTATAGTCTCTAAAAATTTAAACAAGCAGAAGCTAAGTTATAGAAAATTCAAGTAAGTAGAAGCTAAGCTAGTATGAAAGCTTATAAAATTCAACAGAATGCGGAGAGATACATGGTGACTCCATTGGAGGCACCTGAAGAGATCAAGGGAATGATCAAGGAAACAACAACAAAAATGAGCATAGAATCTGGGAAAGCACTAAAAGATCTAGCACGTTCTATAAAAATAATTACTTTTCCCTTGCCAGCTAATAAACATGTCTCAAATGCCAAAACAACAGCCAAGAACCTGAAATCACTTCTCATATCAGGTTTATGGGAAGATATTAACTTAATAAAAGTCATACCAGTGGCTGCAGTTGCATCAATACTAACCGATATCGTCATTTGTGTCGAAGAAATTGCTGATTATGTTAATGAGCTTGCTTCTTTAGCTCATTTTAGCAGCAAAGAAACAAAGGTAGATTCATCAAAAGAATCCAATATTGAAGCAACACAAAGCAGAAAAATACATGTTACAAACGTGATATTCGATTCACAACACAACGTAAGCTATAAGAGTACTATACCATTTAGATTACTACAAACGTGGTATTCGATTCGATTCTCTATAGATTATACTAAAAAATAGATACATGACTTATAACATACCACACAGATTATTAGAAAACCAAAATTCAATAAAAATATAGTAGTGCATTATCAACACACTAGTCATCATCTGTTTCTTCTTCAAACTCTTCCTCATCCTCCTCCACATTTTCATCCTCAGTTTCATACTCGTCTTCTGAAGATTCATCTTCGAACTCTTGATTCTCTATCAATAGTCCATCATTAATGGGTTCAACCATTTCAATTACATCCCCATTTGGATCATGTAAGATTATATTCTCATCAGTGGTGAAATTCATATCTATCGAATGGACTTCAACTTCTTCAACTTGGAATGGAAGAGTCAGTTCTGGAGTTGATGTTATTGCCTCATCAGGAAGTTTAATAACATCTCGAGGTTTAACTTTCAAAACAGCTACCCAATCATCCTTGTCTTTTTTCATGCTAGGATAAGGCATATAACACACTTGAGTTACTTGTATCACAAGAATAAAAGGTTCGTACTTGTTAAAACGACGGCGATGGTTCACATCGACTAGTTTGTATTGGTTATGCTCTTTGACACCAACATTCACAGTTGGATCAAACCATTCACACTTGAATAACACAGTTTGCTTTAAAGGTTCTTCGCAGTATTCCAATTGTATAATCTCTTGTATCTGTCCATAATAGTCACCAATATTTGGATTCGAGATACAAACTCCACTATTAATTGTTGATCTTGCACTACCATGACATTCCGTGTGAAATTTGTATCTATTAACAAAATACACCGGATAACATTTTGCGCTTATTAATGGTCCATGAGCAAGACTACGCAAGAATTGGTTCTCAATGTGGTTGCATTGAACCTATTTCAAAAAAATTATAAGACTTGCTTAAATATAACAAGCCAATTTAAGTACATAATTGCTTAAAAGATAATGATTTTTATAGTCTTACATATTCCTTGAACCATATAGCAAAACACGTTTCGAGACTCTCATTTATTTGATCCTGAGATAGGTTGGAAAATTCTTCTTGCAACCGTTGTATGTGCATACTTCATTGCAACAAAATAAGTTAAATACATACTCAAAATATATGGATATATTTATTATTATTAAAACATGATACCTTACAAACGACTCAACCTCTACACAATTTAGTAGAATATAAGTTTGGGCTGCCTTGATTTCTTCGAGGGAGAAACTTCTCTTTTTTCCTTCTCCCCATAGTCGGCCTGGATGGGTGAATATTGATAAATTTCCTTCAATATCTTCCATAACACCACCATCATCATTACGGACCATATTATGATTACGTGTCATGACATAAGGTTCAAAATAATGAGAAAATAATTGTGTTGATTCCATCATCAAGTATGCTTCGCAAATTGAACCCTCGACACTAGCTTTATTCCCTATCATTTTTTTAAGAGTTCGAAGGTAACTATACAAGTAAATGTATAGACCATTAAATTCATAAAGTCATGTGTATCATATTTGTCATAATAAGAGCATAAAAAGTTCATAACCTCTCAAAAGTATACATCCATCTATATTGGACAGGTCCATCAATCCTTGCTTCATATGGCAGGTGTACAGGCACATGTTCCATTGAGTTAAAGAATCCAGGAGGAAATATACGCTCCAACTTACACAAGATCTGTGGGATATCTGCCTCTAATCTCTCCATGTCCACCACTCGAAGAACAGTCGAGGTGAGATCCTTAAAAAATAAGCCCAATTCCGTAAGTGCTTGCCACACGTTACTAGGAAGTAACTCACGAAAGGCAATAGGCATTAATCGTTGCATGAACACATGACAATCATGACTTTTCATACCAAATATATTATACTTGTCTATGTCTAGGCACCGACTCAAATTCGAAACATACCCATCTGGAAACTTCACATTTTCCAACCAATTGAACAAGACAATTTTTTTATTCTTCTCTATTGAAATGCAGCTTTGGGATAGCTTCCATCAATAGGATTCTTTGCCAATTGCGGTCGATCGCAATAGTTTACCATATCTTCACTTGCCTTTGGATTGTCTTTTGTCTTGCCATCAACGTTAAGAACTATGTTAAATACATTATCAAAGACGTTCTTCTCAATATGTATGACATCAAGATTATGGCAAATCATGTTAGAGCTCCAATAAGGCAAATCCCAAAAAATGCTTCTCTTTTTCCATCCACAACACCTAGAAATTCTCCCATTAACTTCTTATGCATCTAGCTCAGTTACTTTTCTCAGTCCCAACTCACAAATTTGGTTCAAGATTTCCTCTCCTGTCCTAAGGGGTGGTGGTAGCCTTCTGACAGTCTGACCTTTATGAAAGTTTTTACGATCTCTCCTAAACGGATGATTTTGGTCAAGAAACATTCTATGACTGTCAAACCAAGTTGTTTTCCCACCATGACGTAATTTTAAGGATTGTGCTTCCTCCATACAATAAGGACATGCTAAGTTACCGGCAGTACTCTATCTAGATGACATAGTATATGTTGAAAAGTCATTGATTGTCCACATCAAAGCGGCCCTTATTTGAAAATTTTGTTTTTTTTCAGATGTCAAATGCTTCTACACCCGTTTCCCACAACAAGGTCAATTCCTTTATTAAAGGTTGTAGATAAACATCAATTTTTTGTTTAGGGTTGTTTGGCCCTGGAACAATGACAGTTAAGAACATGTACGCCTCTTTTATACACATCCCTGGAGGCAAATTGTATGAAGTGACAATTACTGGCCATGATGAGTATTTCCTCCCTGAATTACCAAAGGGCTGAAAACCATCAGTATATAATCCCAACCTCACATTTCTTGGTTCAGCAGCAAAAAAGGGATGAGTTTCATTGAAATGCTTCCAAGCCTCAGAGTCTGATGGATGACACATTACGCCCTCCTCTTGTTTGTGCTCATGATTCCATCTCATATCAGCGGCTGTAGCATGAGATGCATATAATCTCCACAATCTAGGAATCAAAGGAAAATAATATATTTTTTTGTAAGAGATTAATTTCCTCTTACGAGAACCGACACGGTGTTTGTACCTCTGGTGACCACAAAACTTGCAAGATGTGAGGTCCTCATCTTCACCCCAATACAACATACATCCAGAATTATAACAATCAATCTTTTCAACTGGCAAACCCAAGCTACACACTAGTTTCTTGGTCTCGTAATAGTTATCAAACATTGTGTTATCTTCTGGTAAAGCCTCTTTCAACAATTGCATCGTTATAACCTCTTTGTTATAAAGCATTCTCCATTTTAATATTTAGCATCCTGGAAACCACTGCAAGTTGAGAGAGGGAAGAACTAGGGTATAATTTTGCATCAGCGGCCTGTAGCAAATCATAAAACCTTTGGCACTCAAGATTTGGCTCCTCCTCCATCGAAGGATTAGGCCCCTCCTCCATTGAAGGATTAGGCTCCGCCTCCATTGAAGGATTAGGCTCTGCCTCCATTGAAGGTTCATAAGAATGAGATGACTCAGGTTTAGTATTATTATAAGACTTCCAGCTCAAACCATGGCCAAAATTGGGTCCAGCTGCATCCAAGACCATTTGTCGATATGGATTCTCATATCCCGATTCAGGTTGAGCGCCACCATGCAAATCACCACTAGAAGACATCTCACCGATCACATCTTTTTCTCCTTGATACTTCCAAAGAAAATAGTTCTTAACAAATCCATATCGATAAAGGTGCAATTTAATAGTTTCAACATCCACGTATTTAATGTTGTGACATTTTTTACATGGATATCTAACATTGTCACCACTCATGCGATTGCGCTGAGAACAAGCAAACTGGAGAAACTTGTTCACACCAGTTATGAAACTTGAATTAATACCCCCTCGGCCATCCAACCTTTTGTACATCCAATCACTCTCTAGATTGTCCATGTTTCTATTTAATATTAAAATAAACAAAAAGTTGTTAAAGCTTGTTAAAGCTGCAGGAGGTATAACAGTAGGTGCAGCTGCTGCTGCTATGACTGCTGCAGCAACTACTGCCAATTCAGGATCCAACTGCAGCAATTGAAGGCTTTTCAGCAAGAAGTGAAAGTGTTTGAATAAATGTCATTATTGATTTGATTAAACTTGTACCTGAAGGCATATATTACAGAAAGTTCTTTAAAAGAACTCACATTGCTCAAAATCTCAAGACTATATTGCACTTGTTTTGTCTTAAATGGTGGAAAATCTCTTTCATCCCAAACAGAGATGTTTGACCCTAACCAATCTAAGTGCAATGACTAATTACAGACTACACTACTCATCTATAGAAAAGCAAAACTTTCAATTATAAGCAACAGAATTATATACCTTCTGCCAATCAGAGCCATATTTTACCAAGTACTACAATTCCACTGTCATGTAAACAATGTGCAAACGTAGAAATATTCAACAACAACAACAAACTCAATGTAATCCCACGGCTCAAGGAACAGTGAAAACAGCAGAAATATTCACATTGTCCCTTAATATATGGAAAAACAATATTTTGTTGTATGAAGTTTTTGAAGTGAAAATGGTGGTTTTTAAATAAAGGGAGGTGATAGTAGGAAAAAAGAGAAGGTCTTTAATTCTACCATTGTGTTAAATTGCTGGATAAAGGGTGACACACATAGGTGTTCATGTGTCCTTTTGTGGCACTTAAATGTTAAATAGTTAAAAATACTTGAAGTATATTTCTTTCCTTTTCAACACTTTTTCATAACATACATGATAATCCTTAAAAAACTGTATTGGTTCTATCATGGAAAAACATATATTCTCAATTTTTCAGCATTCCTGTTAAGCATTTCCTTACTCTTAATGTTAGTGACAATTTGAAGCTAACTCAAAATTAACTGGACAAAGAACCAGCTCCAAAATCTTAGCAAACCTTTGAGTAAGATACTCTTATATTACTAGCAAACAGTACATCACTCTGGAAAGTATCATGGTATTACATTTTACAACATGTGACTCAAGAGATATCAACTCTAATTCAAGAAATAACAGATCAAACTGGACATAAATCATTAGTTACAGTAACTACTCAGCTAAAAGGTGCAGATTTCAGATGCATTTCTGATGACAATGCAGCCAATTAAGGCAAACAATGGCTGCAACATTTACTTGCCCTTTAACTGGTCAGGATCAAACTAGCATAAAAATAGAGTAAACATTAAGAGAAGTTTGAAATCTCTCATAGAACTTTACTACAATTCCTTAAGATTGAAGAGGAAGACCATGCACGGATAGGAAATATTTTGACTTAGGATAATCACACAGAAGAAAGAAGAACTACTGCTATATGAATACAAACAATTGAATTTACAGAAGAACGGGAACAAGGTAGTAAGTACTGCATAAATAATCTTACCTTATCAAGGACATGCAATCCCTAAAATCAACGCACGACTTGGAGTTTCAGAATTTTACAAACACATGACTTCGAATTTCAGAGATCCGCAGCAAAAAAATTGCAATTTCAAAGGTTTTCTTGTATTTTTCAGATAGGTATAAAAAATCACTTTTTAACACAAGAAAATTAACGAAATTGTCAAAGATTTGACACTTAATTTGTCAAATATCAGAAGAAAGCAAGCCCATACCTCTGAGAACAAAACCCCTTTGCAAAAATAGGAAACCCTCGACTGAAAACCTACGCTGCTGAGGTCTCAACCTTTATTGAGGACTGTCGACTGAAAAAATAGAGGTGCTGAAGTCTCAGTGTTTGTGCCTTCGAAGAAGAGGAAGAGAAGAAATAGGAAGAACAGTGGAGAAATTAGGGTGTTTGTGCCCAAATGGTTAGGAAGGTCTTTTACCTAGGGTAATTTAATTTTGGGGACGGAAATTTAACAACGGAATAGCGACGGACCGAAATTCTGTCGCTAATAGTAATTAATAAAATTATATTTTAGGAAATTAGCGACGGAATATTTTTGTCGCAGATAACTTTCGAATGCCTTGATAAGTAAAATGAATTCTGCGATGGATTATTGGACGTTAAATCCGTCGCTAAGTTTTAATATTTTTTTGTCGCCCAGCATTCGTCGCTAATTTTGTAGCTTAAATAAAGGCGCTAATATTTAGCGCCAATTTTAGCGAGGAATTTAAGTTTTTGTCGCTATCCGTCGCTATATTTGGTACAAATTATCTTCTAGCTTATTTGGCGACAAAATACAAATTTTGTCGCTAATCCGTCCTTATTTAGCTACATAATATCACTTGTCGCTAAATTCCGTCGTTAAACGCTGTTTTTTTTGTAGTGCATAAGCAAGTCAAAAACAACCACACAAAGTGCATGACCATAATCATGAAGAAACAGATAGCACGATATACCATCAACAGGAAAGACCATAATCATGGTGCAACTAGCCAATCAACACCTCAATAACCATCCCGCTCAAAGTAGAAACACATCTAGTGTGCGTATAACCAACAAATCATAACCCATTATAGCATAGAAGAGTAACACATAGAACATATCGGAACACGAACAAGCTCAACTGTAACTGAATGACACACCCCTCAATAATAACAGTGCTGAGTCAATAATTCCGACCCGGTGTAGAATACATATTCTCATTGGCCTACCAATGAGCCCCCAAATTAGCTCTGGTCATCTATAGATAGATAAATAGCCCTCCAAAAGTCCTCAATGGCCTAACCATAACACTTACTATTAGATATCTGACTTTGGCCATACCTTCACAGTCCGCAACCAAGAAAAAATCTGCCTCTGAGACTCCCGTCTCCAAACCACCAGAATACAAAAGAATCACCAAATCTGATCCCATCTCCACCACTCAAGTGACTGACTCATCCTTCATATATAATCATTCTACGAGCTATACTTCCATAATTATTTTTTGCCATATAGCAAAATCCGAACATCAACAGCCGATCAACCAAGCGAGTACCGCAATACTAATAAAGCATCTCTAAGTCAAAACACGAGGCGCCCTTTGAAATGCACATTCTTCTCAAACAATACCAAGTAGTAACAACATTCATCTAGTCATCTAAAACCGTCCATGTTGTCTAAGAATTCATGACCCTCCCTTCAACACTAAACCGTGTCCTTGCATATGCAAATCTCAATCCCGCACGACACATCGCATCTATCATGACATCATGTGAAAACATGAGAACCATATTACCAACCTTAGGTCACAAGCAGATTACATACTCGGTTAGATGGAAACCTTCCACTTGATCCTATTTAGGAGAAAAATCATAATACACAACCTGCTCCTTATGTCGGTAGAAAATATTCATCTCAAACCGTGGTAGAAACTATTGAGAATTTTTTGAAGCCCATTTACACATTACCAAGCCATCAGAACTGAATCTTTCTAACTCAACCAAGCCATGCAGGTCGCCATAATACTGCAGTGAGATTAAACTAAATCTTTCATAAGCTTATGTTACACAAACCATATAATATCTCAAATAATCTGCTAAGCTCACATTTATCTTCGTGACAGTCAGGTCAACTTTCTCAACCAATCCAAACTCAATTCGCAACACTTATACCCACAGATAGAAAAGAAAGCCTCCACACAACATCCTAAGGATCACACATACGTAGATTACCCCCAGGTGATAATCCACATGCTTAGCCCAAAACATATAAAACACATCTCGTACCTCATCCATGAAATCCACAAGCTATCAATGTACATTTGATGTCGAGCAATCACATGCGCATACGAATGAGCGGAAGGAATTCAATATGTGATGACCCGATAGGTCATCTAGAGTTTTAAACCTTAATTCTATGTTGTCAAGCCTCCAATTTCTTCTATAAACATTCCTTGATTTGGGTGCATAGTATGGGTGTTTTTTGGAAAAGATTTTATGTTATAAATTGATAAAATATGAAAATTTTCCTTAAAAAGTCCATTTGAGTTGACTTCGATAAATGGTTTTAGAAAACGGACACGGATAAATATTTTTACGATCTCTATGGGTATGTATCGTGATTTGGGACTTGGGCATATGACCAGAATTGAATTCGGAGATCCCTAGCTCGAGTTATCGTTTTTTGTCGAAATTTTGAGGTTTAATCGTTTAAAGAGTTTAAAGGTTTGACCAATGTTTGCCTTTGTTGATACTGGGTCCATATTCTGGTTCTAAAACCCGATATAGATCCATTACTATATTTATGACTTTTCTGTCAAATTTGGTGAAAAATGGAGTTAGTTTGACGTAATTCGGACGTCCGGTTGTTAAAATAGTTGTTTTAAAATTTTCTTGAAAAAATTATTTGATTTGGTGTTTGATTCGCAGTCTAGGCATTATTTTGGTGTTTTGATCATGCTAGCAAGTTTTTATGAGGTTTTTGGACTTGTTTGCATATTTGGTTTGGAGCCCCGAGGGCTCGGGTGAGTTTCGGATAGCCTACGAACCTTAGTTCTTAGAAAAGAATCTGGCATTTAGACTTCTATTGGTTTTTGGTGCTTACTTCTTTGCGATCACGGAGACTGAACTAGGCTGGGATGGAAAACTCCTTCTTCGCGAACATGATAGCTGGGTCGCGAGCGCGGAGCAATGGTGGCAATACCCATTGCGAACGCAGCCAGCTTCTCGCGAACGCTTAGGACATGGGACCTGGGGGAGGGGAATTGATAAATACTCTTCGCGAACGCGGAACATCGCTTGCGAACGCGTAGGCTGGTAAGGGTAAGACTTTGCAAAAATGAAGAGTTTCTCGCAAACTGTAGGCTATTTGAGTCACTGCTTTGCGATCGCGTCAGGCCCTTCGCGAACGCGAAGAAGGCCTGATGCCTAGTGATTTAAAGCTCGGCCTAGGGGCGATTGTTAAGAGGAAACTCAACATCAATTCATAGGTTTGTACACCTTAATATATTTTCTTCCATTTGTAATATCACCCATTAATTCCTATCCCTAATCTTTGTTTTTTCATGGTAGAAAACTAGGGATTTAGGAAGAATTGGGTTTTTTTGGAAATTAGGGATTTAGACCTCAAATTGAGGTCGTATTCCGAAACTAATTAAATAATCAAACTCGGGGGTGAATAGGTTAATGGATTTTGATCCAAACCTCGGGTTTTGACCA